GCTTAAAAACGCAAAAGACGCGAGAAAAAAATGTACACTGTTCGGCAGTTCTATATCTTCATTCTTTCTTTCATAATCATCATTCTTCCTTTAGCAAAACAAAAAAGAGTTTCATCAAAGTTCACCTGGGATATACGACTCATCCTCTTCTATGAATTCTGGAAACTTGACTTCTTCATAAATCTGCATTTTGTCAACTTCTTCCACGAGACTGTTTCGGTTAACGTGAAGCACCTTCGGCTTCGCACTGCTGACTTGGACTTTCTTTTTCTTTTTCGGCAGCCACTTTTGTTCTTCCTTCTTTTTCTCTAACTCTTTTCTCCGCTTTTCAGCGATCTGAGCTTGCTCCCTCCTCTCGAGAGCCTCCAAATCCACAACCACACCGTTCTTCTCTTCCTCCAACATCTCTTTAGACAGAATCTCTAACAGTCTCGAGTTTTTCACGTTCAGATTCCCTTTGTTCTGTTTAGCAATCCTATTCAAATCGTCTCCAAACGCCACACCGTTGGGCTGAAATACCGGTAGATCGGCAGCGTAACCGCGGCGTACGACTTGTCCTTTGTACTTGTTGAGATCGAAGTCCTCCAGAAAGTCGTCGTCTATGGGCAGACTGTGAGCTGACCGGTTCTCCGAGTCCATGGACCGAGCCTCCACGGCCGACTTGGCGTCCTCGTGAAAGAGGAAGGTGTCCATTTGTTTCTTGGCCACCAGCATGATGCACAGATACAGGACCGTGAGGAATATACACCCGGCGGCGAACCGTGCCTTTAGGAAACCCATTCTGGGAGGCGTTCTTTGCTCTTTGCTCTGGTGGTATTACTTTTTTTTTTCATTCGATGTAGCGGTGTGTGTGGTTGGCAGGTGCTCTGGTGTGGTTTGCTGCTTCTTTCCTATCAGACATCTATCGTCTTTATCTCTCCTCCTTCTTTTTTTATGTTTGTTACTCTCTTGTACACCTCTAATCTTCGGCTCTTATATGACCTTATCGTGTTGCAAGTACCGTAAAACTCTTACTAAAACTTTTTTAAAAAACGATAGTGCTGTTTTTTGGTGCTGCGTGTCGTCATGGTATAGGGGGTATCATGACTGGTCCACAAAGCAAACTTCCATCTTCCAGTTATTTCCCCAGATACGTTTAACGAATACACTGTATCGACGATGTCAATGTTTCAGAAGTTGTGAAAAAAAGTATGTCCTCCCGCTCAACGGCGTCTCGGTGTCAAATAGACGAAACACCACGCACAAACAAATAAAAGAAGCCGCTTTTCCGAGACATAGAATCTACATCGGAAGAAATCGGAGAACGCTAGTACAGAGATGTTGATAACATAACACACCAGCCCTACTATCCTAAAAAAATGTTATGTGTATAGAACGACGCCACACCAGCTACCATCCGGCAAGAAAATATCTCACATACTCCTGGAAACGATATGATTATTGAAACTATTTTTACTCGTTTGAAATCGAATGAAATGAAAATAATACAACACAACAAAAAATACTCTACATAGTAGAGAAAATCTAATTCCCCCCTAGCCTATAAGATGTGAACACGTCCCAGCGAGTTGCTGCGTTGCTCTTTCAGCTCATTGTAACTCCGGAGTCCGTATATAGATTTTCTTGTCACAGATGGGCGCTATCGACGGTGGAAAGAGCCGGCCGGCTAGGTGTGTGTTGTGCTGTTGGTGGTGGTGGTGAGTGCAGCACTGAGCTGACACACAAGCCTTCCTTCCCGCCAATTCATAAACTACACGCACTCACTCTGGATTATAGCTCAGATTAGCTCAATAAAACTTGGGATTAAGAATTTTCTACAGGAGGGTTCGGCGTTCATGTGAGCGGAACACAGGGGACGTCACCCGTTGTGATGCTGTTTAGTTCCTTGTGAAGGTTGCAGTTTTCGACCTTGTAGACGTGTGTGTAGTTCGGCTTTCTCATAATAATAATATCATTACTACGATTATTACTACTACTATTCTTCTTCTTCTTCTTCTTCTTCTTCTTCTTCTTCTTCTTCTTCTTCTTCTTCTTCTTCTTCTTCTTCTTCTTCTTCTTCTTCTTCTTCTTCTTCT